TTAATTTGAATGAAGTGTGCAACATTTTTAAACTAGCATATGATCGTAAAATCTTAGTGTAATACATTAAAAAAAATTGGATTTTGTATTCACCATAAAATCCTTTTCTTTGCATTCATTGGAGGACAGCTCTGCTTTAGACTACTGGGTATAGTGCCATTGCAGGAGTAGGACTCTAGGTACCCCAAGGGTGGCCAAAACGTGATACAATGTGAAACAAGCTTTAGTTACTTAACCCAGCAGTGCAAAAAAATTACAAATAAATCTATTTAAACACACAGGCAGCAGCAAAGCCAAAGGGGTTGATGCTGTGTCCTCCACTGAAAGCAGAGAAAATGATTTATATTGTGTACACAAAAAATATTGCATCTTCTCCTTTATTGATTGGAAGACAGCTATGCTTGTCCCCTACTGGGACATCAAAGTAGTGCCACAACAGGGCGGCAAAAAATAAATAAATGGAAAAGCAGACTAGCCATCTTAAAAGAAAGATGCAACCCAGTCAGACTGCTACCTACAAAGCATTTTGCCAAAATTTGCATCAGTGGATGCTGCCAAATCCTCCCAGTAAAACTGTTGAACAAATGAACCAATGACCAGAGGGCCACCTTACAATACAAAACACAGAAATTCCCCAGCCTCAACCTGCCAGCCAGCCTGCAACCAAACAAATAGCCCTGTCAACAGTATGCGTTAAAATCAGAGGTTTTAGTTGCGCCCTGCTATAAAGGCTGGTTATAGATTCATGCATGTACCATCTTTTCTAGGCCACTTTACAAACTTGAGAAATCAATGCTTGATAATTGAAAGCCCAAAGTGCACTTCCCACTCTTAGAATTTACTTTAACCAGGATCGGTAGTTCTCAGAGCTTGATAGCATATGATTGGACAATGGTCTAATCATGCGTGAAATAGTAAAACAGTCAACGACAGGTCTCCCTCCCTGAACTCATGAGGGAGTTCAAATGTTACGGTTCCCTCTCCAACCTGGCGATCAATTGGTCCAAATCGGCGGCGCTGAACATCACGTTACCTCAGGTGGAACGGGACGCGATACGGGCCGCATTTCCTTTCAAGTGGGAGGCTCATTCGCTACCATATTTAGGCACCCATATCACGGCGGAACTGAAGTCGCTGTATGAGGCCAACTTTGCCCCCCTCTTGTCACGGATTAAACAGGATTTAAGAGCGTGGCAGGCGCTAACTGTGACATGGTAACAGTCAACGACACAAAGCCCTTATAGGCAGGAAAGTCTCAGATGCAAGACATCCAAAAATGGAGTCTTGCAAGACAATGTCACCAACTCTGAGACTAAATATTGCTCTATGCAAGTAAAGGCCACTAAGGATGCAACATTCTGAGAGTGAGAGCAGCAAAATCTTACTAAAATACCAAAAGGTGTTTTTTGTAACTTTTCAAATACCAGGTTAAGGTCACAAGGCAATGACAATGGCACTGAATGTGAGCAATTCCCGAAGTTGCAGACAAGTGACAGTGACATCAGAGGATGCCGAAATAAGTATGCCGACATGTGATTCTTAATTGTGCTTAAGGCCCATGCTGTCCAGGAGGTTGGCAAAATACATCTTCCAAGTAGGAGAATAAATGCTGCAGGAAACAGATTTGCAAGCCCTATGCATGGTATGGTATTCTGTCCCCTTAGATGTTGGCTTTCAACAGTCAAGCTGTTAAAGCCAGCAGACATAATGCAGGGAGGTAGATGCCAGAAAGCGTCAACTACCAGACAAACAAGATTCATGTACCATGACCTGTGGGGTCCAGTCTGGAGTCATCGGGATCACCATAACTCCCTTCTATTCTATGTAGTAGCCACAGAAAGTCTTATTGGTGGGTAAGCATATATAGGAGTGTAACAATCCCACAGAGTCACCAGTTGCTCTTCCCAAGGGTCCTTTGACCTTGCTACAAACCAAACCAATCTACTTTTACATATATGGAGTAATGCATCTTAATATCTATGAATTCCAAAAGTCCACATGATGCAAGGACATCACTACTGAACAGAGACCCCATCCTGAACCTGCAGCCCTCGACAAAAATGTTAAATTCTTTTTCCCAAGACTAGTCGTACTCTGTTCTTCTTGGGCACCGTGAAAAGGTTTGAGTAAAAACAGGATCCTAAAACCAGTGCTGAATCACAAATATACTTTAAATCCTGTAAATCTTGTACCAGCTGGGCATCCTAATTCATATAAACATGTGAAGCTTTTTCTTCTACTAGACCGCAAGTTTTGCTCACTCTGTTAAGGTTTGTGAAACAAACCACAATGCCAAAACTGGACACAGTAAGGATCCCATGACCAAACACATGAATCTATCAACACCTTGCATCGGATTTTTAAAGTAAGGGGAATCCTCTACTGAAATACCCATGGCCATATTTAATCAATAAACAGGAGGATCCACAACAAGCAGAGACTTCCACTTTTTTTAGTAAACACCTCCTCAAAAGGGTAAATGCACCAAGAAAACAATGTTGAAAAAGGAAAGGCCAAGTCAGTCTCTTCAACTACCAAAAAATAAATGTAAAAAAATCAGTGGTCGGGAAAAGCATGAATGGAACACTTTGAAGTATGCACCCCAAAAGATACTGGTGCATCTAACACAGTGGCAGGTGGATCTACAATGTTCAGTATATCACTAACTGACTTAATCCGAGTAAAACACAAATGTCTCCTCCGGAAGTAAACTTGGCAGACCCTGCATCCAACTCAATTGCAGGGACTGCATCAACTGCCTGGGAAGACCCCTTTGGACTCATCTAAGGGCACAAAGGAGGAGGTCAGGCGTTTCTTACTCGCCCGTGGCTTAGAAAAAGTGCACATTACACAAAACCTTCCAAAATGGATGCTTGAGTACAGTCTTCGAATATCCAATGCTGGGAGTAGAGAACCAGAAGATGGGAGGGATGCTACCAGCAACTGTTCGCAGATAATACAAAATTGGTCCCTGTCTGCATTGCTATAGAGCATTTAAGGCAGAGGACATTCCTGCGTGAACCCTTTGGAGGCCTGCCCCCCGATGCTACTGACAATATCCACCGAGCTGTGACTGTGCAGGGTTAGGACCTCCAATAAAGCATACTTATTACTATAACTAAACTACAGTTCAGGGCGAAACATTCCTGGTCACAGCAGCTAGCAGTCACCCAGCAGGAGAAGCAGCTTGCAGCATAGCTTTGAGATAACAGCATCCCTAGTTCAGTTGTGCCTGAGAGGCAGCATGCAGCCACAAACATGGCGCTTTATGTCAGCAGTGTGTACAGTGCTGGGACCACACCCTCTCCCAGCCACTTTGTGGTGGATACAATACTCCGTCCAGAAGCATAAACACTGGCTTCTGCTACACCCATGGGGGATGCTTCACCCAGTACAAGGTGTTCTTAAAGGCACTAAGGATGGGCGAATTTGTCTGGGTTGGATTCACAGGCGGTTCATTGAATCTTTTTAGAAATGAACAAAATCAAAGCAAATCCCATTCAGTGAAGTCTATGCGGGACAAATCTTGATATTAAATTCTGGTCATTTTCAAAGCTACTAGGCAAAACAAATAAAAAATAATAAAGCATGGGGAACTGGGCATTGCCTTGGGGGACATTTAAAGCAAAATATATATTTTTTTCAAAATACCATACAGCATGAAAATGGTTCTTTTAAGGTGACTTCAAAGGCAATATGGAAGACACACCAATACTCTAAGGCATACATACAGTATAGAACGTTATGTCTCTCAGGGCCTGTCTAAAAGCCAGCCGGCTGAGAGTTTCAGGTAAGTATACCTTTATTTTCATCCCTAGACAAAAACTAGCACTTACCCCTGCACTGCAAGGATTAGGAATATTTGTTCCCAGAGTTCCTTTTTAACTGTATAAAAAAATGTCAGTTTACCAGTCTGACTCTGTTGCCTGGAAGGGCCGTGTAAAACTTGAGCACCCATATACATTTTAACTGTGTATTTAGCCATTGGTCTAAGGTTAAGTTAAAGCTGGACTACAAACAAATATAAAAAATAGAAGTTCTTTGGACTCGTTGTCCAATGAAAAGCAAATACAAATAACTGGCTATATTGCCAATCAAGTATATAAACTGGAACAATTATGAACAGGCTTTAAGTGTGAAGATGTAAAGGTAAAAACCTACCTCATTGCATTCATCCACTAGAATGAAAAAAAGATCAAATCTAGACATTATAGGAGCTGAAAGATTGACGTTATGCTTTAAAGATTTTGATCGCTCATATCTTCCACCAACAGGATTTGCAGCTGCCAAAATGGATGTGCGGGCATTCAAAGTGGCCTTGGAATATAAATGAAAGACATTTAACTATTTCCATTGTTAATAGATTTTCTAAATAGATTTTAAAAGGTGCAGCAATATAACAGCTTTAGTATTTCTAATGAAATGACAAAGGTCCTTTAAAACAAACCATATGGAATTTATTCCAACAGGACATTCAGTTGTGATTATTTTATTCTTCACTTTGCTAATCAGATGGTCATTGCAATTTGGTTGTTAGCAGCAAATAAACCACAGTGAATTTAGAAAAGGAACAACTATAGTTAACATATCTAAAATCATGCAGAGGAGAACACTGGCTTTCCCAGAATAGTGCACTATAAGTAAATCACAACATTGAACTTCTCTTTTAGGCTTCCAGAAATCCAGTGCTACCCTGTATAGCCCTAAATACTGTCCTAGACAACACTGATCCTCCATAAATAAAAGGAAAGTGAAATAAATCCATCACAGCAAATCACTGCAACTACATCTAAGCTTTCATTTTTAAGCTTTTATTTATTTTTTCTTATTTTTTGCTCTAGGGATAAGATACACTTAAAGAAGCATGCTAACTATGCCAAACTAAAATGATGCAAGTAAAGTTAACTTAAAGAAAAAAAAGTAATTGGGGATAGATCACTTACCTTTACACCAGCTTTGGTGATTGATATTGTTTGCTGCTCCATTGCCTCATGAATGGCCACTTGATCTTTCAAATCCATCTTGTCAAACTCATCAATACAACAAACTCCCTTAATACAAAAATGCCACAAATGACAGAAATGATAAACAAATTACAAACTAAAACCATTAGA